AGCCATGGCAATCAGACAAAAAAAGGGGGGGGGCGTGTGGGAAAGGAAACCAAATCGGAAAAGAAGACGTAAAATAGTCACTGTGTGCAGAAGACATGGTACTACACGTAGAAAATTCTAAGGATAGCACCAAAAAAAAAGTATTAGAACTAATAAACAAATGCATCAAAGTTGCAAGATACAAAATTAATATACAGAAATCTGTTGCATTTTTATACAATAACAATTATCAGAAAGAAAATTAAGAAAACAATTCCATTTACAATTACATAAAAAAGAGTGAAATACCCAGGAATAAATCTAATCAAGGAGGTAAAAGATCTATACTCAGAAAACTATAAGACATTGATGAAAGAAACTGATGACAACAGAAAAAAAAATGGAAAGATATACTGAGCTCATGGATTGGAAGAATTAATATTGTTAAAATGACCATACTACTTAAGGCACTCTATAGATTCAAAATAATCCCTATCAAAATATCAGTGGTGTTTTTCACATAAGTAGAACAAATAATTCTAAAATTTGTATCAAAGCACAAATGACCTCAAATAGACAAAACAATCTTGAGAAAGAAGAATAAAGCTGGAGGTATCATGAGCCCTGATTTCAAACTATACTGCAAAGCTACAATAATCAAAACAGTATGAACTGGCCCAAAAGCAGACACATAGATCAATGGAACTGAATAGAGAGTCCAGAAATAAGTGCACACTTATATGTCAAGTAATCTACAACAAAGGAGGCAAGAATATATAATGGGGGGAAAGAGCCTCCTCAATAAACGATGTCAGGAAAACTGGACAGCCACAAGTAACAGAATCGGACTAGACTACTATCTCACACCATCTACAAAAATAAACTCAAAATGAATTAAAGACTCAAATGCAAGATCTGAAACCACAAAACTCCTAGAAGAAAACATAGGCAGTATGCTATTTGCACTCAGTCTTATTAATGTTTTTTGGATATGTCTCCTTGGGCAAGGGAAACAGAAGCCAAAACAAAGAAATGGGACTACACCAAGCTAACCAGCTTTTGCACAGCAAAGAAAACTGTCAACAAAATGAAAAGACTGTCTATAGAATGGGAGAAGATATTTGCAAATAGTATTTCTGATAAGAGGTTAATATCCAAAATATACAAAGAGTGCATACAACTCAACATCAAAAAAAAAAGATTTAAAAATGGGCAGAGGACTTAAACAGACATTGTTCTGAAGAAGACATACAGATGGCCAACAAACACATGAAAAGATGTCCAACATCACTAATCATTAGGGAAATGCAAATCAAAACTACAATGAGCTATCACTTCACACCTGTCAGAATGGCTACTATCAGAAAGACAATAAATAACAACTGTTAGTGAGGATGTGGAGAAAAGGGAACCCTAGTACACTGTTGGTGGGAATGTAAATTGATGCAGGCACTATGGAAAACAGTATGGAGTTTCTTCAAAAAATTAAAAATGGAATTACCATATAATCCAGAAATTCCACATCTGAGTATTTTTCCAAAGAAAACAAAAACTAATTCAAAAAGATATATGTGTCCCCTATGTTCAATGTAGCATAATTTACAATAACCAATATATGTAAAAAACCCAAGTGTCCATTGATAAATGAATGAATTAAAAAATATGTATACACACACACACACAATGGAGATAGATATAGATATAGATATACACATATAAAAAATGTGTATACACACACACACACACACATATAGATACCATCAAATATTACTCAGCCATAAAAAAGAATGAATTTGTGACAACAGAGGTAGAGCTAAAGGATCTTATGCTAAGTGATAGTCAGACAGAAAAAGACAAATACCATGTGATTTCACTTATATGTGGAATCTAAAATACAAAACAAGTTAATGAACATAACAAAACAGAAACAGAGTCATAGATACAGAGAATAAACAGATGGTTGCCAAAGGGGTGCGGGTTGGGGGATGAGAGACACGGATGAGGTAGACTTAGAGGTACAAACTTCCATTTACAAAATAAATGAATCACAAGGATGAAATGTACTGCATGGGGAATGTAGTCAATAGTAATGGGATATCTGTTTGGTGACAGATGATAACCAGACTGATTATGGTGATCAGTTTGAAATGTATAGAAATACTGAACCCCTAAATTGTGAACCTGTAACTAACATAGCTCTGTAGGTCAGTTACACTTCAAAAGCATATATACATATACTTTCTTACTCATAAATGACAATTATATACCCCTGAAAATAATTAAATACACACTAAAAATATTCTAATCTAACATGACTGAACAACTCACTAACTTCTTCCTACATGTAAAGAGGAAATTAACATACTTTAACAAAATACTGAGTGGAGGAGGGGGAGTTGTTCACACACAAAAGTCCACATCTCCCATCTTAACATTCCCACCCACTTCCCTAAGAAGCACTGCAACAGAGACTGTTCTTAGCCCACTATGTCTCATCTCAAAAACTGGCCTGCCCATCCCCACCCATCTGCTAGAAGCATCAGCCTTGGTTTCTTACCCTCTTTCTCTCAGTCACATACCACAACAGTACAATCTACATGAAGTTTCCACCTCTGAAATCCATCCTAAATCCCCACCTTCTCCCCTGTCCTGCTGCCCCACATAGTCCAAACCACTAGCTACCGTGTCTTATCTCCCTCAATTTCTGCAATAGATTCCACCGCCCACCCTCTTCCACCACTGTCCCCTAAAATCGGTCCTCCCCATGGCGTTGATGCTCTGTCCAGCTGGACTGGCGATTACATACCTGTCTGCAATGTAGCCGACGCCCAGAGAGCCCAGTAAGAAGCCCACATTCACGCAGGACTGAAAGAGGTCCACCTTCCAAGAGTCTTCACACACCAGGTTAAACTGCAGGTCACACAGCGGTCGGAGGGGCCAAAAACACAAGACCGTTTGTAAGTCCTGCTGCACCTTCCATGCTCCCTCCACACAAAGGTAAATGCACAACACAGAATGTGGTGTTCCCAGAGGCTTCACATCATTTTCTCTACCACATTTTCGTGAGAAAAATTCAGGGTTCCTGGTCAATCCCAGTCAATGTCATGATATGCCTAATATGTTTACCTTTGTTGTACCCTCAATATACACCAATTAAAGAGGATGTTGTCAAGTGTCATTGACAGTCAGCTGTCAAAGGACTACATAGCCAAGAGGTAAGGTTTCTAAAAGAAATCTCCAAAACCAGAAATGTAACTAAATAAATATAACATGTGTTCCAGAATTGGTCAAAAGCCCTTAATTAACATATATTAATTATGTATGAGTAAGTAAATTTTACCAGCGATTATGTAAAATTGTCGTGACCCGGAAACTGCTGAGCAGAGAGGCCAGAAGGAGGGGCTTCCTGGGAGCAGCCCGAGCACTGCAGGGTTGGGGTGGGACTGAGGGGTGGCAGGGGACTCGGAGGGTCTGATGTGACAGGAGCCAGGGAAGGACCAAAGGGGAAAGACAGAGGTGAGAGCAGGAGCAAGTCTGCCTAAGGAAGGGCGTTGTCATGTGGGGGATTCAGGGGACGTCCCTCCATGTGTGACACACACATGGTGACACCAACACGTCCAGGCACCCTGGGAAGCCCGAGTGCGTGAGCAGCGCCACGTCCTCCTGAGCGCTTCCAGGGGCCAGGGGAAGGATGGCACTCCGGGGAGACATGAGGGGCTGGGGGGCAGCAGCCAGGGCACAGCTCTTAGCTGGGTGCTATCCTGCCTGAAATCTGTGTTGTGTGTCCTGTCACAGCCACAGAGCTACTGTGAGCACCACAGGGAAGAAAGCACGTGCAAATTGTTTTGGTAAATACTACACCATTTGCGGGGAGTGGGGAGGGGTTTTATTTATTTATTTTTTTAGTGGAGGTGCTGGGGAGTGAACCCAGGACCTTGTGCAGGCTAGGCACACACTCTACCATTAGGCTATACCCTCCCCCCACCATTTACTTTTAAAATGGAGGTTTTACTGCACACCACCCTCAAACATCTAAAGTCGCCATGTGAGCTATGCCTTGGTCCCAGCCTGGGGGTCCATCATGAAGACCCCTGTGCTCTGCACTCAGCCAGCCTAGGGTTCCATCTGGCCAGCTGCTTACTTCCTTGATATGAGTGATTTTTAAAATAAAATGTAAGTAAAACTCCACACTACCACTTGACTTTCAGAACTGACCACGAGCTGGCTCGACTGTCTGTCTTCTGCCCAGACTGACCGTCTGCTCTCGTGAGTGGTTCAGCTCTGGGAGGCAGGACAAGACACCACTCAGCACCACGCCTGTCCTCTGTCAGTCCAGGTGTTTATCCCCCTTAAAATTCAGCAGAAATCACCCCTTCCCCTTGGAGCCTCTCCTGCCGTTCTTCGGGTTTCCCTGCTGCCCTGGACCCCACCAGTAGAACGCGTGGGAGGTCACTCCTGGGTGTTGCCACCCAGCTGTCCCAGGTCTGTATCTCCAGCCCTCCCTTTGTAGCCTCTGTGCACATCGCCCAGCACGACCCTCTGTGGGGACTCTATTTCACCAAAGCCACAGTGGGGGGCTCAGGGTTTTTACTGTCTGTTCTCCTCTTTGCAATCAGCATCCCTGAAAGATGTCTCTGCCACTCTTCCTGAAATGTCCTGGGTGCCCTCCTGCCCCGGGGAATGGGGCAGAAGCCGGGGCACTCTCAGAGCTGGAAGAAGGGGCATTCGGCTTCACCCGCTGACACCGCCTCCCCTGAGAACTCTGCCACAGGCCTCACAGAGGGTGTCTGTCTGGAGGCACCCCCAAGGCTGGGAAACCTGCCTGCCCCCTGCACTCCCAAACTCACCCCCAGCCAGTGTCCCTGGGTGATTTTGTGCCACCAGGAAGACAGGCTAGGCCCCTCGGGAAAGCCGGGGGCCGCCTAGAGGGAGCACGGGCTTGGGTCCGCAGGCCCACTGCTCCTGCTCGGGCGTCACCCGGGCCAGGCCCCGCTGCGGGACACAGCCTGGAGAGCTGCATAGAGACAGTGCGTGCCCCACTCGCCCGAAGTCACCCAGAGTCCTGTTAGAATGCAGGTTCCCAGGGATCCTGTCCCAGCAGGTCACAGGTCAGAATCCAAGTGAGCCCCAGGATGAGACGTGTTTGGAGAAATAAGCACCCCTCACCTCTGTCTGGGGCCTTTCTCGGGCCCCCTGGCCTGAGGTGGGGCTCAATTGAGAGCCAGGGCCCCTGAGGGGAGTCACAAGTCAGGACTGTGCACATTCCTTCCCCAGAAGGACCCTGACCCCATCCTACAGGACGAGGAGGGCAGGGAGCCGGGTATTCAAACAGGTTGGCTCATCGCCTTCCCTTAAGCAAGTTCCAATGTCCAAGGCAAGGCCAAGTTAAAGATTATTTCTGCAGAAATAAGTAACAAAGATGAACTACCCCCAGAATAAGCCTCGGCTGAGGAGGAAGAGTGGAGGCCAAGGTAGTTTTGGAGCATCAGAAGGGAAAGGTTGAGTGGAGCCCCTTCCTTCCAGGAGCTGGGCTCCCCTGCACCCCCAACCTAGAGGCCCTGCAGGTCTGGTCACCTTTCAATATGTCCAGAGGCGTCCCACCGCCCTCCACGCTCAGCGTGTCCCCGAAAGAACTCTGTACAGCCCCTCCTCCGCACTCTCCCTGCAAAGAACGGCTCCAGGATTCTCTCAAACCTCACCACCGCTTGGATCATCGGTCACCTGGAAGCCCAGCTCTTAGAACCACAGTCAGCCAGTTGGTTCTAAAGCTCTGTAGGTCTTCTTGGCTGTGTCCCCTCCTTTCCTGCCCCCGCCCAGGCCACCACCTGGCCAGGCTCCCCCACCAGCTCAAACAGCTGCTTCCTGTGTTCCAGCCTCAGTTTTCAGTAGCTCCATTCACACACCCCACCCTCTCCCCCAGCGTTTCTTAACTGGGTTCTTCTTTCCCTTCCTGTGACAACTGTGTTGGCTGCCATTTCTCACCGAGGCTTGTGTCTCGGCCTCCTCCTCAATCTTCCCCCAACCTCCACCCCCACCCCCACCAGCGCCTTCCCAAGGTCCAGCGAGGCTCGTCTCCCTCCTCTGCCTAAATAACACCTAGCTCCCAGCCCCGCCTCGAAGGTAGGGTTGTCAGATGTAGAAAGAAAAGAAAAATACAGGGTCCCCTGTCGAATTTGAATTTTGGATAAACAACACATTTGTTTTGTTGTTTTTTAGTTTAAGTATGTCCCCTGCAATATTATTCCCGGCCTCAGTAATCAATATCAAGGACCATGCGACATCTGGGACATAATTATCCTTAAAAAAATTGTCCATTGTTTACCTGAAATTCACATTTAACTGGGCACCCCGTATTTTATTTGGCGCCTTTGCGGCATAAGGACTCCATGGCCTGGCTTGAAGGTAAGCTGTCACTGCTGTTCTCCCCCTTGACTCCTTTGCCAACAACTTGTTCCCTGAGTGTAGCACCTGCTTCCTCTCCCCTGAGCTTTGTTTGGCTCGTGGTCCCCCACCCACCCTGTTCCCTCTCCTGGCTGCTCGAAATACCCCCCAAGGCTCCATTTAAACGCCACCTCATTCTGGAAGACACCATGATCAGCTCAGCAGCTAGGATCCTCAGAGTCCCCTGGCCCCTCTACATCTCCCGCATGTGATGTGGTCTTGGATGCCGGTCTCATCCCCACGTCCCTCCCTCACTCTCTGGAGACTGCAGACTCCCTGAGGGACCCTCATAGGTTCTTCTCTGTCTCCCTCCTGGCACCACCCCAGCGCCAGAACAGAGGAAGAGCTCAGAGCATTTACTGAATGAACAGACAGAGAGGAGATTGGGCGAATCCTTGCCTCTGAGCCTTTCCAAGCAGAGTGTGCCTCAGCCACAGAGAACAGTACCTCCCCGTCCTGGTCTGCTTCTAGTTTCCCAGCAAGACCAGTGGCCAATTCAGCGTCCCTGGGAGGCGAGTCTGCTAATGGGACATCTGGCATGGAAGGATGCCTTGGGGACCAGATGTTCATGCAAGACAGGTAAAAAAGTCACACTTGTACCTGCGGGGGAAACTTGCTGCCCAGCCGCCCTGAGCCCCAGACAGTGAGCTGGTGAGGAGGACATGGCGCCTTCCTCCAGGGGCAGTCCAGACGTGTGGACGCTGAGACCGCTAAGCAACCTTGTTTCAGATGAGCAGTGCCTCACCCAAACCAAGACTTGCCAACGGAACTCTGTATCATTCGGGCCTGTGGCTTCGCCAGCTGACCCTGAGGCCAATTTCCAAGCGCCCACAGTGCAATACTTTCAAAAGGGCCCACGAAGAAAAAACATCTGGTGGCTTTTTACTAAGATATTCTCAAAGCAAATGCTCAAATAACCCATTAAACTATCCCAGGGAGGCCCTTTTTCACCTTCACACTCGCAGTAGGCTATCGAGGGGACACCCAGTGTAACTTGGCTTGTCTGGCCAGCACCTCCGTGGTCCTCATAGGGTCATAGGTCCTGACCCCTATGAAGCAGGTTATCATCATCGCTGGTTTACTGGTGGAAAAAACAAGGCTCAGAGAGGCCAAGTAACCTACCCAGTAACGCTCAGCCAATCCGGGGCATGGCTAGGATTCAGTCTGACTCCAAAGCCAAGGCAGCCTCCACACCACCTCAGTGGCCAGGGTTTAGCTGTCACATGTCCACAACGCTTTTCTTTTAATTGAATTATAGTTGATGTACAGTGTGGTATCTGTTTCTGGTGTACAGCACAGTGATTCAGTGATACATATGTATGTACATATTCTTTTTCATTACAGGTTATTACAAGATATTGAATACAGTTCCCTGTGCTATACAGTAGGTCCTTGTTGTTTATCTATTTTATATATAGTGGTGTGTATCTGTTAATCCCAAACTCCTAATTTATCCCTTCCCCCTGCATGACTCTTGAATGGATGGAAGAGACTCACAATTCTAATCATTGAGACACTGGACCCCAGGTGAGTTCTGCAGGCTCTTGGAGAAATCAGCAGGACAGAAAGAAGAGGAACCCGTCTCCCCATAGCCCTGTGTTCAAACAATGCAGCTCAGAATAGCTTGTGATGGTCTCTCTGACCTCTCCTTCTCTAATGCCCAGAGTCTGTGGAGGATTAAACAAGGGAAGACTCCCAAGTGCCCAGGACGAAGCCTGACACATGCTGAGGTTCAGTGACCAAAACCCTGCTTCCTCTTTCCCGATGTGAACCTGAACCTTGTGGGATTTGTTGTACATTTCCTCCCTGCCCCTGACACTCCCACATCCCCCAGAGGCAAGGTGTGCTGTTACCTCGGTCACGATGGAGGAGCCGGGCGTGTCGTACACCCAGCCGTGCTGACAGGGGCCCAGCGGCAGGTGGCTCCGGTTGGCGGCCAGGCCGGCCAGCGGGTCCACGCAGCCGAGGGCGCTCTGGTTCCAGTCCACCTCGTAGCGGAGGCACTGCTGGGGGAAGGCCTGGCCCGCCGGCCCCGGGTCCGGCACCGTGTAGTTCAGCTCCTCCTCCAGGCTCCAGCCGCATCGTCGACTCAGCTCGGCCACGCCGGGGCTCCGGCAGCGGTGGTCCGGGATGAAGCCCAGGAAGACAATGCCCACATAGATGGGGGCAAAAGCAACTGAGATCAGGCATAGGATCAGGAAGATTTGCTTCTGGAACCAGCCAAACTCCCCAACCTGCTCCAGAACATCATCCACGGTGGGCATGACTGACCCA